GTTAGCAACCTTCTCAATTAAAACCTCTTTCTCCTTTCTAACACACTTAATGGTCTCTTTTAGATTGACCACAACAACCACTAGATCATCTCTCTCATGTCCTATGTTTGCAATTTTTTCAGTTAAGGCATCTTTTTCTTTCTTCAGACTCTCAATGGTTTCCTCTAAGTCTACCACCACAACTACTAGATCTTCTCTCGATTGTTCTACTTCTCCTAGTTCCACAGTTAAGGCATCTTTATCATTTATGATACTATGATATGCATCAATTAAAACATTTGCTAAAGACATAAGTTTTTTTGGAGAATAATACTTTAGATTTCTTTGAACATCCTCATCAGATTTTGCCATCAATGCAAATATGCAATCATATTTTGCAGCTTTTCTTTCAACGACCATCATAGAGGTGTCTACCTGTTCATCATCACCTCAGATTCACTAGAGGAATCTCCCTAGGCATCCAGAGCTTGCTTTACAATATTATCAGCAAAATCTCTTTTCTTGAACTTTCTGTCAGGGACCGGGTTCCTCTTAACCATCATAGAAGCATTGTGTTTGTAATGGTCCTGATTGTGGAGAGGACACGCTTTGATGAAATGTCCTGGCTTTCTGCACTTGTGACAACAATCGTATCCTTTAGTGTTTCTGCTAAAGCTGCCCTTCTTGGGAATGCCTCCATTTCTACGAACCATTTTCTGAAATCTTGGTGGTCTGTCGGTTGATTGAATTTCCTTGAAGTTTGGTGGAGCGTCCATGTAGATCCTTTCTAGGTGTTAACCTTTTAGAAAGAACCTGCTCTGATACCAATTGATATAATTTAAGGGTCCACCAAACTCTATAGAGAACCAAGTTCTCTATCAGGTTCAACAGAACACACGCACACTGCAGTAAGTAAATGACATAGAGGAATTTTACGTGGAAAATTTCCAGCTCAACGGGATTAAAAACCATGACCTACCCTTATAGGATTTCAACTTCACTACTAAGCAATCTTTAGATTACAACATATTGTAACCTAGGAATCAACCTCTTAATCCCTCACTAGCTTGTAACTACACTATTACAAGCCACTTTGTAATAACTCTATTACAAAGACTTAATCACTCACTAACTTGTAACAACACTTACAAGCCACTTTATAATAATTATATTACAAAGACTTCACAACTCGACTAACTCTAGCCAAGACACAAACACAAGGGTTTATGATTTACAAAGGGTTTCCTACATAATGCTTCTAAGTAAGCTAAGTAGGAATTACAAGTAAGAACTTCAACAAAGATACAACACAACTAAGGACATATAATAACTCAATATGGGGAACTGGTCCGTTTCTATGTTGTTAGTTGTTCTTGATGCCCTTGAGAATCACTTGCAAGATAGACACACACTTGAGAGAATGCTTCTTTTGTTCTTGAATGTGCAAGTGATTTGTTTTACCTTTGCTAAATATCTCATTTGTGACATCACTTGGATGATGCCAACATGTTAGGTGAAGGGCATTCCCCATAAAGTTAACTGCTGCACTGTTTCTACACTATAGCGTGTGCAGGTAGCAACTTTACAGCTGGGGGAGTTGACTTGTACAGTCACCTCGGAAACTGGTAGGGACATATTCCCTCAGTTGTTCCTTCTTCTGTTCCTTTGTCTCTGAAGAGTTGAATTGTGTCCCCAACTGGAAATTTGTTGATCTTAAGCTCTTGAGGATGTGTAACAGGTTCCTTATCTCGGGAACTGGTAGGGACCTCTTCCCTCAGCTGTTCCTTTGACTCTGAAGAGTTGAATTGTGTCCCCAACTGGAAACTTGTTGATCTTAAGTTCTTGAGGATGTGTAACAGGTTCCTTATCTGGTTCTTAACAGTAAGTTTGTTAGATCATCAAAACATAACAGGGATACACATATAACCTATCACTCCCGCATATTAATATGATTTTATATATATGTTCCTTCTCTGATGAGAGCTATATAGAATACCTAGTGCACTGGAATACCCTTTTGTGTTTTTTTTATGTTTGTGGGGATAGAACCTATTTATTTAACTATTGAGTGTTAACTAGCAAGAATTTCCAGATAATTCTCTTGAAAGCTTACTCCTTTAGTGATGAACTATAACACTAATTGTTGTTTCTCAATTCGTTTGCTTGTTAAGCGGACTATGCTGGAGTTGTACTGATAGCAATAGAAGTCATTATTTCTTATTGACCATTTATTTTCCTCTCTCCGATCGCTCTTTTCTGATACTTCTCTCTCTCGTAAACTAGTCCGTCATTCACGTCGTCGTCACCCTCGTCGTACGTAGATCTCAATTAGGTAAGTCTCTTCTCTCTCCTCCATCTCTCTTCTTCTCTTTCTTCTTTTCCCTTCTTTTGTTCTTCTTCATAGCGTCACCAGCGACTATACTAGCACCGACGACACCCTCTTTTCTCTCTCCGCACCGCTCTCTTGTTCTCTATATATCTCTCCCCTCTCCCCGTTCCTTCTCCCCAAGATTCGTGTGGGTGGGTGTGCGCGTCTGTGTGCAGAAAAATAGGGCCGGCTGACCAGGATTTTTCCGGCGGAATCCAGAAGCGTCAGCGCGAGTGTAACCACCAACTACGGTTTCTAGCGAGTCCATTGCAGCACAGTCCCACGTCTCCACCCTCCAAGCTTATACAACCAGTTTTCCAGCGAGCCAGTTGCAGCAAATCCCCACGTCTCGATTACAATCCAGGTTCTATCTTTCTTGAATTATTATCTTTCTTGCCTTTACCATTGATCTCGATATTTTGTCTAACTTTTCTTGCTTTAACTGTAGAACGTCACTTGTTTTACTACCATTTTTAGTAGACCTTATTTAGCTATTAGTTAGAACTTGCCTGCCATATTTGTTTACTTAAGCATATTATTTGCCATATTTGTTTCCTTAAGCATATTATTTACAATCTGTCTCTTGTTTTGCTTTAACTGTATAACGTCACTTATTTTACTGCCATTTTCAGTACACCCCTTATTTAGCTATTAGTTAGGACTTGACTGCCATATTTGTTTCTTTAAGTAGCTTAGTTACAATCTGTCTCTAGCGTATTGTTGTGATCTAATTGTAGCAACTTTGTCTCGATTACTTGTATTTTTCTATAATTTTTTCTTCCCGAGCTATATTATAGTAGTTTTGCCCATTTTCTCTGTGACCTCTAGTTATTTTTTGTCAATATTAGTTGGAGATTATATTTCGGTTATTCATTTTATTTTTGTCGCTTTTTTTTTCGGGGTAGTGTTTGTGTAGTATCTCCTAGATTATAGTGGCTTTGGTGAACGATGGTAGGATAAGGTCTTGTCCTCGGGGGTGTCCTGGCGGGGAGGGGGTGCAGGGGGTAATGGGGCTAAGGGAGCCTCCAGGCTAAGAGTGGGGTCTTGGAACATAGGAACTTTGACTGGAAAGGCTATAAAGCTAGCGAGAATTGTCGAAAAAAGAAAGATTAATATAGCTTGTATACAGGAGACCATATGGGTAGGAGATAAGGCGCGGGATGTGGGCAAGTTCAAACTATGGTATCTGGGAGGGCGGGGGGCAGGAACGGGATAGGTATCTTGGTTGATTAGGACCTCCGTGATCTAGTGGTGGATGTAAGGAGGGTGAACGACATGCTGATGCCTATTAAGCTAGTTGTTGGATGATTTATTTTGAACATAATCAGTGCATACGCACCCCAAGCAGGCTTGGACGAGGAAGTCAAAAGGCGTTTATGGGAAGATTTGGATGAGATGGTGCGTGGTATTCCACATACTGAGAAGCTTTTCATAGGAGGAGATTTCAACTGCCACATTGGAGCGACGTCTGGGGGATGTGCATGGTGGCTTCGGTTTTGGAGATAGGAACGGAGGAGGAACTTCTCTGTTGGACTTTGCTAGAGTGTTTGATTTGATGATAGCAAACTAGAGTTTCCCGAAGAAGGTGGAGAACTTGGTCACCTTCCGGAGTCTGGTGGCCGTGACTCAGATTGATTATCTTCTCTGCGGGAAGTTCGATAAAGGTCTTTGCACGGAATGCAAGGTCATCCCGAGTGAGAACCTCCATAGGCTCCTGGTCATGGACCTTGAGATCACAAGGAAGAGGAGGAAGAGGGCGGTGTATAGACAACCTAGGATTAAGTGGGGAGCCTTGACGAAAGCCAAAGCGCATGAGTTGGTGGTTAAGTTGATGATTAGGGGGGCTTGGAGGTGTAGCGAGGACGCAAGTGCTTTGTGGACCATGACTGCGCAGTGAATTAGGGAAGCTGTTAGAGAGGTATTAGGGATCTCGAAGGGTTACTCTGGTGGAAAAAGAGGAGATTGGTGGTGGAATGGAGAGGTGCAAGAAAAAGTGGAGACCAAGAAAGCGGCGTATCTGAAGCTAGTGGAAAGTATATACGATGATGAGAGAAGGGTGAATAAGGAGCAATATAAGTTAGCTAAGAAGGAGGCGAAATTAGAAGTTACGACGGATAAGAGTGCACCTTTTGGTCGTTTGTATGAAGAACTCGAGGGCCGAGGTGGGGATAAGAGGTTGTTTTGGTTAGCCAAGGTGAGAGAAAGGAAGGACCGTGACTTGGACCAAGTAAAGTGCATCAAGGACGAACAAGGTAAAGTTTTGTTGGATGATGGGCTTATCCGTCGGAGATGGCAGACCTACTTCCATAGTCTCTTGAACGAGGAAGGGGACATGAGCATTGTACTAGGTGATTTGGAACTCTCCAGGAGTCATTGAGACTTTGGGTTTTCAATAAAGAGATCATATTGAACGGAATTTAGTGATAGCCTTGGGTTTAATATAACTCAAACAAATACCACCTATAGATAACATCACCTGTAAATCAAAGTAAAAACTAAAGATGATACTCGGGCTAAGGGTGAAGTTGGTAATTTTTCTTACATCTACCCCTCCCGGAGTCTAGGCATATGCGCCCCCAAAATTAAAAGCTTGAATACTAGAAGACTTCTGTTCCTACAAGAGAAACAGATTAGGAAAAATACTTGAGAAAAATAAAAGCACAAATTAGAACTAGTTTTAATAAAAGCTTAAGAGTCTTACATGGAACAGTACATCATTGAAACTCAATTGTCAAAATTGAATAAGATAGTACTTGAGTTCAAAAAGTTCCACATTCTCATACAAAAAATCCAAACCATTTAATACATTTAGATGATTCCAATTTTGTTCGCCACATCCAAAGCATCATAGTCGGGTGTCAACCTGACATACGCCTTCTTCGTTCCATCCGGCCTGAACCAAGATAAGACAAAGCCAGCAGCTTAGATAAGATGGCAAGAAGTTGCATGAAACATTAAACATTATATAAATGGTGAACAATAAGGACCAACAACTTAATATTTTGCCAGAATTGCAGTGGTCGGACTAAGTTTACTTCATTCAGACCATATTATCTTCAGTATTTAAAAGTGAGAATGTTTAAAATAGTGGTGCAACACACAAGTACTCCAAGTAGGTCCGAAAAAAACTACTTCATATAAGTACTGGCTCAACATAAATTAGAATTAACCTTCATATATAAATACTAACATTAGGCTAACCAGCATAAAACTAGGAAGTTTATAATGCAACTACAGAGATATCAAAATGTTAATGCAAACATATGACAACTAAGACTACATATGTCAGTCTTCTTGAGGTAGTTTTAGCAGATGCAGGATAATGAGGCAAATTCCTTAACGTTCAAATTACCGCAGAATTAAACTCAACACATAACGCTCGGAAATTATTGGACAGTGCATCAATGCCCTTATATGGAAAACATCAGTAATGCTGGATAAAAAATGATGTGCAGCTATCTTCTCTGTTAAAGAAATCAAGAGAACAACTAAAAGTGCCTATTAACCAAGCCAAAACACAAATAGGAAAATAAGCAAGCTGTTACCTGATCAAGGTATTGACTTTCTTAGTCTGGATATCATACATTTTCTTCACCGCATCCTTAATCTTCTTTTTGTCAGCCTTGATGTCAACAATAAAAACAAGTGTATTATTGTCCTCGATCTTCTTCATTGCAGATTCAGTGGTGAGAGGATACTTAAGTATCCCATACTGATCAAGTTTGTTCCTTCCAGGTGCACTAATCCGGGGATACTTAGGATTTCTATCCTTCTTCAATGTCTTAGGCCGATGAAATGTGACTTTTGTTCGTATCTTTGTTGACTTCTTCTTAAAGGTTGATCCTGATTTCACAGCCTTGGCCGCCTTGACCGCTTGGGCTTTGGGGTCACCTTTTTTTGCCACATCTGCTACATAAGGAAGTCACACTAAGTAACAGATCAAGTCATGTACTAGCAGGAATATATGCCACAGAAATTCATTTGATATCTTCCTGTTATAGAGCATATCGACTTCGATTTCTGAACAACCCACTCAATTCAAACACTAGATTCAAGGTAAGAAAACAGTTCTAGTAAAAGTAAGATATAAAACAAACACTTGATTTTCCAATCAAACCAAAAGAATAATACCATTACTCTTAGCCGTCATGATTATTAATATAAGTACCAAACCATTAGCCTTTCTAGTTAAAAATTGGAACCACTATACGTCCCAAGAGAAAAGAATCTTTGTATCCAAACTCTCATAGAAATCATGACTTGACATTCCCATCTACCCAAACCTTGATTGGCAGAGTTACTCATATTTGAGCTGGTGGGAGGTACCAAGTTGTCGGTGGATGCACATGCCAGCTAGCCTAGACACGACCGTAGTCTAAAAAGATCCTTAAATCCACAAGCAAATCGAGAATTTAAGCTTTATGAGTTCAACCTTTAAGGTTCTTAGTATTGAACCCATTGTATTTTTAACAATATGGGTTCATGTCTACTACTTGCTGCAGTTTTAGTGGATTTTTATATAAATTTATGCTCCCATCCAAAGTATTGGTTCAGATGAACCGGGTACCAGTACTCTGCATTCACCTCTGCTTAAATCAACACATACCGGAATTGCTGGAAGATTTCAAGCTACAACTATCTTCTCTATCCCTCATTCTCCAAACTCCCAATATAATCATCACAGCTATTATCCCGTAAATTTCAATCAAATGCGGTAAACTCCAAACGAGCCTTCTTATCAACAAAAATGTTCACACCTATAAGTTAATCTACATCATACTTCTCCTTAAAATGAATCTAACAACTAGATATTCTGTCATTTAATAATAATAAAGAGCCTCATTAGAAATGCCCCAAGCTTCTGAGGCAAAAAGCGAATACTTTTCAAGCTTCCAACAACACGATAACCTTCTTACTGAGCACATTCTTAAAATATATCTCTAGTTGGCTAGTTGGAGTTATAATTAGAAATTAAATGAAAAAAAAAGTAGATTCAAATATGTACCTTTAGCTGGAGCCATGGGAGACAGTTCTAAAACCCTATACTGCAAACCTCAGAGAAGCTCCCGCTGTACCGCTAGGGTTTTTTCATAGAAGACGACGATGAATGATTTATATTGGGGCCTTGACTAGCAGAGCCCGGCTTATTCGGGCCGTTGCTTTGAGGCCCATAAATATGGGCTTTAGTGACTCAAACTGACTAAACAAAAGGGCAAATTATGCGAAATACTCATTGAGCTTAAAATAATTATTCTTTTTTAATTTGAAAATTATTTATAATATATACCTATTAATTAAAATTAATTACCCTTACCTACCTACACCCATCCCAAACTTTTTTTACTATTTGGCTTGAATTGGTTTGGTTTTACTTGAATTGACTTGACTTAGCTTGGTTTAGTAGCTTAGTTTGACTTTATTTGGTTCGCTTTGACGGGGTATTACAAAAAAATGGGCGGGAGGAAAAACTTATGGGCAGGGGCGGGTAATAATTTTGTACCGCCTAGGTATTTCCCAAAGAACCCCTAAACAAAAGTAAGATTGGATAATAAGATCTTTACACAAATCGGTTGGATTTAATTGTTCACTTTTTCTACTCAATATATATACATTATACAATAATTATAGGTTTATATACATATTTTATATGGATTAAATATATATTATATCCTTACCGTTTACTTTTAGTCTAAGCAATAGGTGAGTGGCTATTTGGGTTAATGAAGCCCAATTTCAGCTGAAATGTGATGGTTTCTTTAATTCGAATTGAATGTTTGTTGAAAATTCAGGAGCTAATAACCTAAATAATGTAACATTTGAACCTAAATTCGAAAAACAAATGTAAACATGAAGAAATGATCTAAATTATATAAATGTTAATAGTAGAATAACTTGTCAAATTTTTTGTTAAAAGTTTGTAAGTAGCAGGATTTTTCATAAGCGATATCGACGTATTGCAAGTAAATTTTAGCTTTGAACTATGTTGGTTGAAACGTCTTTATTTCCTATCCAATGTGATATTTCTTAGTATTATCTTTAAGAAACGTATCACCATTTGCTTGGTGGGCAAAGTGGATATTACTTTTTAATGGCTTGAAATAAATTTAATATTTGTACGTTATTTAACAAATTCTAAATACCAAATATACTGTTTGAACAAAAGCTACTGAGTTCAGCCAAAGTACCGAAGCTCGGCGTGTACTTCCGCCGTTGTTTATAACTGTTGAATATTGAAGTATTAAAACTGTTGGTTCATATGGGAATGTTCTCTTTTATTATATGCATACAGAGAATATTAGGAATGTTCTTCCTATCTTGAACAGTGAAGTATTAGATCACTGTTGGTTCATAGTATTGTTTTGTAGTACTCATGCAGCAAATTGATTGTAACTACAAAGTTTATAGGATGAAGGTTAATGAGAGCCTTCAATGTAAGATGCAAAGTAGACATTTGGATAATATTTGGTTGAAAGTAGAAAGAAAATATATTCTAAGTTGAAATTAAATTAAAAAGTCTGTGTTCCTATACGAAGTTTGCTTCATTTTTTTATTTTGTGAGTAAAAACTATCAATATTTCAGTTGAAATAGTAGTTTCCTCTTGCTCCTTATGAGTGTTAGAATCGAAATACTCGGTGCGAAAGCTACCAAAGCATATACCAAAAAAGAACAAAAATATTTAATGTGGTTCAATCAATTGACTTACATTTGGAGGCGGAGATGAGCAATCCATTATATAAAAGGAAAACTTACACAAATGTTCCAAATAAGTCTCAACTTACCAACCTCTAGCCATTAGTCATAGACTTACCAAAAGTAGCCAAACACATATAAAAATTGAAAAAACCTAATAAATAAGGTTTTTTCTCTCAAAGAATCACATGCAAAAATCACTTTCGATATTTTTAAGCGTAATCACTTTCGATATTTTTAAGCGTGATTAGCAACATTAGATGCAAGACGGAAAGAAAATTTTATGGATGAGGTAGCAAATAAGGTGATGAAATATAAAAAAAAAATACAATATTCCAAAAATCTAAGCAAAAAAAGGAACTTTTTCAATGGGTATAGTTGAAATTCATTGAAAACATATAGATAAGTCAATATGCAAATTGAGAGATTGAGTGTTCGACTGTTTGTATCAAATCGT